CCTTCTCTTTCCTCCTCCTCCCCCTCCTCCTCCTCTTCCTCCTCCTTCTCCTCCTGCTCATGACTGACTGACTCGTGGCGGTCGAACGTCGTCGTGCAGCCATCTGTCCTGCCCCTCCACCTCGGTTGGGTGCCGGAGGTGAAGGGGGGGTCCATTCGGGAAAAGGTGAAAAAGGAAAAGACGGGCAGAGTAAAGTGGGAAGCATCGAGCCGAAACACACCTCTGATCCCCCTCATCCCCCTCTTCTGCTCCCCTATGGCCGCCCCTCCCACGGCGAAGGTCTGAGGCGGTGCTAGAGAGTGCAGAGGTGCGGTGAGGCAGCTATGGCACCAGGATATGGGGTAGGTGGAGCATGATGATAGAGGAAGTGGAGACTGGTGCCTAAAATGGGCCGGCTGGTAGGCTGCAGTTAGCATGCTCTTAGGGTGGAGGCGGAGGGCAGCTGTGGCTGGCTCTTTGGAGGTCCCAGCAGTAGGGTCGCTCTTTTGAAGTGGGGGGAGGACCAGTCGACCCTACAGTCTGTAAACCTAGAGCGGCGGTAGAGCGGACAGAGCACTGCATGGGTAGGGTGAAAGCGTAATCTCAGCGGTGAGAAGGCGGTAGGATGAGCAGGAGGAATCAAAAGAGAAGGTGATTGAGGTGACGATGCGATTGGTGAGGAGCACCAGGGTCTCAGCTGACCCTGAACTCGACTCCCCTAGGCACGGTCCCGGGAGCCTACGCGCATGTGGGTGGGTGGGGCAGTCGCAACTGTGTTCCCCCCCCGTAACCACTCCCCCGGCCTCCACCCATCCCTGTGTCCTGACATATCTGTATTTCAGGGGTGGCTGTCGACGCGGAAATCGGAGTAGACGGAGTATTCGAGGTCGGAGGGGTGGTTGGTGTTCATGCCCTGCCTATGCTTCCGAGGTGAATGCCGCCACGAAAAACGGAATAGATGAAGTATACGAGGTCGGAGGGGAGGCTGGTGCACATGACCTGCCTACACCTCAGAGGTGGATGTCGACGCGGAAATCGGAGTAGACGGAGTATACGAGGTCGGAGGGGTGGTTGGTGCACATGCTTTGCCAATGCCTCCGAGGTAGATGTCGACCCGGAAAACGGACTAGATGGAGTGAACGAGGTCGGATGAGCGGTTAGTACGCATGAGTTGTCTATATATAGAGGTGGATGTCGACGCGGAAATCGGAGTAGACGGAGTATACGAAGTCGGAGGGGTGGTTAGTCCCCATGCCCTACCTACGCTTGTTTACCTCAGAGGTGAAGGTCGTCGCGGAAATCGGAGCAGCCGGAGTATATGAGGTCGGAAGGGTGGTTTGTGAGCGTGCGTTGCCATTGCCTCCGAGGTAGATGTCGACACGGAAAACGGAGTAGATGGAGTGAACGAGGTCGGAGGGGCGGCTGGTGCGCATGACCTCTTTATACATCAGAGGTGGATGTCGACGCGGAGGTCGGTGTAGACGGAGCACACGAGGTCGGAGGGATGGTTGGTGCACATGCCTTGCCTATGCCTCCGAGATAGATGTCGACGCGACAAACGGAGTACGTAGGTGGAGCATACGATGTCCGAGGGGTGGCTGTTGCGCATAACCTTTATTGGATGTGTGGGGGGAGGGGTGGTAGTATTTGTGGTCGGCATCGCGCGCGTTAATACCTCGTGCGGCTTCGCACAGTGGCGAGGATGGCTAGCGCCAGTGGGTAGGAGCGTAGTTGGGTGACGTAGTCGTTGAGCTTGTCGAGGAATATCCTCCTCCTCCTCCTCCTCCTCTTCCTCCTCTTTCTCCTCCTCCTCCTCCTCCTCCTCCTCCTCCTCCTCATCATCATCATCA